GTGGCTGGTGGAGAAGCAGGGGCTCTCCAGGAGCTTGACCTTCCAGCCATGCAGGGAGGTCTGGATGAAGAGTGAGGGCAGCAGGGGCCTCCCCAGTGGGAACAGACAGGTTGAAGAGGTCCTCGGAGCGGATGAGGATCACTGCGTCCCCCTGAAGGGCTGTACACACGCTACCACTGCTCCCAGACGCCGCTGGGTTGTAGGTGGCCGTCCACTCTCTCAGACTGACCCGCAGGTGCAGGCACTGGACGGCCGAGCGTGCCAACACAGGGGCTGCCACCAGTCCTCACGGGCCCCCCACCCTCCCCCTCCAGCTCCCGGATCAGCCTCTCCACAGCCCGGCCCTGCTCCAGCTCCACCCCGTCAGGCACCAGCAGCACAAACTCTGTCTGGACGTGGAACTCTGGCCGGTGGGCCTGCGGAGGCTGCTCGGGGCTGGGGGAGAGCACCAGGAGACGGGCCCCCTCGGGGAGAGACAGAGGGGGATAGGGTGGGGTGTCAGACACAGCCAGGAAGGGCAGCTCAGGTCTCTGGTGCAGGAAGGAGCGTGCCACATCACCGACGTAGTTCTCAAAGTCCTCAAACTCCCGTAGGAGGACAGTCACACGGGGGCCGCGGCTGTTCCCCTCTCCCCCGACACCTCCAGCGCCAACCATCCCCCCGCCAACCCCCACCAGGCCCCCCATGCCGCCCCCCAGCCCGGATGCAGGTAAAGCAGCCTTCCTGGAGCCCCTTCCTGGATCCCGGTGTTTCTCCATCATCTGCTGCTGGGCTCGGGACACATAGTAGAGGATGAGCAGGTTCAGAGCGATGGCTCCAGTCAGAAGGCCCTGGCAGAAACTCACCCGCATGACACCTTTCGCTGCGCTCGTCTAGCTCAGGGAAAGGAGAAGGTATAGGATGGAGCTCTCTATTCAGAAAGCCAATCCATAAACATCAGGACCCCATCAGTAAAGAGCTATAGCCTATGTGCGCCGGAAGAGTAATGGCCAGCTGCTGGAATAGCTGAAATACACAGAAAATACAGGAATTTAAAACGTGTCCTAAAAAATGCACTTCAGATGGCTGTGATAGGCTTTAGAGGCTGTAGTCTAGTTTATTACATTATATTCAAACATCAAGGAACTAGGTGCAGTGTGTCTCCCATACATGGACTGGCTTGCCCTAGTTCTCTTCAGCCAATTATTTGACCTAGATTGTATCCTTGACTATCAATTGCAGCACAATGAGATGCTTAAAATTGATGCTCCATTTAAGTATAGGCCTATGCTCCCTTCTAGAATTGGTACAGTAGGCTATCAAGTATTGCTACGGCAATAATACCACATTTCCAGTGCCTAGAATTGTCTGCATAATGCAATATACTTTTTATTCTGTAATTTAATGCTGACAGTAGACTACACCTATACTGCATGGTTTCTATGCAACCATGGAACCAATGCAACAATGATCATTCTCAATAATTGATGTTATCATGAAAAATAACCATTGAATCATTTCATATACATAATTTCATATAGACCACACCATGAATGACTCTTCTAAACGCTTCATATGCAGAACTCATCTGTCTTCAAATGTGAATCATGTTCTCCCCGTTATATAGCCTAACATCCCCAAATCGTTAGAATAAAACAGAGCATACAAACCATAATGCACGTACATCGAATTCGCTCTCTGTGTGCAAAGGTGGCTGAGCTAAGCACAACATGGAGACACCACCATTGTAATAGCTTTTACTTACAGTGTAAAATACTTATGTAATACTGACAAATTAACTAAAATAGTGTTATTATACTTAGACTTTTAGATTAATTTCAATACCGCGGTCTGTTACACTGTACCCTTGCTTTGCTGTTTCGGAAATTATCACAGGAAGCTTGCGTGAGATCACAATATGGCAGGAAGCGACATCCCTAGTTACAACTAATGAAACAAAAAAAAGATTCCCGTCGACGCTGTAGTAGATTTGCTCGTAGCTCATTTTTTGGCACGCTTTCTTCATGTGAGTTCTTGCATTTGCTCTTTACGTGAGAGAGGAAGAAAGAAGGGTAGAGAGCTAGTGCTGGGTTTGTGAGGGTTGGGTAATTACTATTATCGCTGCTTGTTTCCACCTCCTTGTCCTGGCGAAAGCGCGAGCGCTAAAATGGAGGCGGAAAGATCCGGCGGAGTAGCAGGGGGAACAAACCAGAACTCTGGAGGCAGCGGTGTGGGGCGCAACCCGAACGGACCGAAATCAGTACTCGGGCAGGGGACAACAGAAGCGGCCGCCGCGGCAGCAACAGCCGGGGCGATGGCTGGTTCGTCGCAGCCTCGGGAACCGCAAGACGGCGACGCAGGCCTATCGCTTCCTGGGATCTTGCACTTTATCCAGTTCGAATGGGGACGCTTCCAGGCCGAGAAATATCGTTGGGAAGCCGAGAGAGACGAACTCAGGGTAATTATAATGTTCTTATCTAGCTATAGCTATGTAGGCTATTTATTACTAGCTAACTATGATTTAGAAAAAAGCTAGCCTAGCATTGCCATTATCCATATCCCACAGAAGTCACGACCGCTCCTCATAGCTTCCCTAATCGGACAGAATACTGTCCACATAATCACGAATCTATTCACCCTGTGCTCCTGGATATTAGCTAGAATAACTTCAAACAATGTTACTATATTTGCTTCAGTTCAAAACCTTTGATGTGGCTTAGACGCACGCGCTATTCTGTGATCAAAGCAAACCCAATATTTGGGGATTCCAAAAATGATGTCACCATTCTTGACTAGTCCAAAACACTGGATTGTGAATTCAGTTAATGTCTTGCATCAATCACAGGACTTTCAATTGTCCGTGTGTGTTATTTGCAGTGTTACATTGAGGCGCAGTCACTGTCAGAGCCACCTCCTGATCCCAACGCAGCCAGACATATATTCGGCATTGTCTACTTATAGCGGATTACACAGGTGGAGGTGTCAATAAACTATGTCGAGCTGCTCCAACGGCAATTAACACTGTTAGAATTAACGCCAGACGGTTGGCCTCCGCTGCTCTCACCCCTTCATGGTTTCTATTTTTCTCTGTGCGAGATTACGGTGGGTCACGTGACTCACTGTCAATTACAACAGGGATTCAGGAATGCGTTTGTAAATCCCGAGGCACTCACAAACACACACAAAAAAGGCAGATGACGTAATGCGGTCCCTGCCGCCGTTTACACACGTTAACATTTTCACTCATGCCTGCCTAGGGAGTGCAAAGCGTGCTTTTTCATTGCTTTCCCCATATGTGGCCTCTCCTGTCAGCACGTTTGCTTATAAGCATGCTGAATGAACATGAGCTGATGAAATAGGAGTTGCTTGATTATTTACAGTAGCCTAAAGGCCTGTGTAGAAAAACAATACCATTCCACTGCTGTCAGTGTATTTCACTAGCCCTCTCACTCTACCCTATAGGCTATAGCCTAGTTATAAATAGGAACTTTATATAATATGGATGAACCATAACACACTGGTCGTACTGATCTTATAGCAGTGTGGGGATGGAAGTCAGAGGTGTGTCACCACCACCACTAGAGTCTCTTACTGGGAAGGAATACTGTGCATGGTGAACGTGAGTGTGGTCTGGTTTTCACAGGCCCAATTAGCGGCAGAACCTGGGCCGGGAGAGAGAGAGAGAGGAGCGGTTGAGTGCCCTGTTCAAACAGTAGCCCAGCAGCTACCCCAGTGGCTGCTAAACTAGGGAAAGTCCAGTGGCACACACACACACAGAAGGCAATGCCTGGTGTGTTTTCTCTGCCAACCCTCTTGAGCCTACAATGTGCCAGTAGGCATGCTCTGGGACCATGTGGACATGGCACACACGTGTATATTGTAACTCACATGTGCTCTCTCTTCTCCCACAAACACATGTATGTATGTAGGCCTACATAGCCTCAATGCACATACACACAGAACACACAACACTATACAGAATATAGCCTACGGTTGCCTCTGGGCTGCTGCTGTCTCAAACCAAAAGTTGTCGATTGATGACTGCCCGGTGTGTGGAAAACATTATTGGCCTTCCCTCCCATGTGACTGTGGACGTGTGTGTATGTGACATTGACAGTGTGTGTATGGTGTGCCAGTGGTATTTTTTTAGGGCTGAATCAGGTCGTTAAACGGGAACACTTGTGGCGCTCTGTCTCCTGTGACAGCCAGGCAGGCTGTGGCGGGCCAGGCCGAGCAGTTGGCTGGGCCAGGTGTAACCTAACGTAGCAGCCGTTTCTTTCTGGTCCTGACGAGATATACTTTTTTTTTAGAGGGAGGTTCTCTTCTGCACTGTTCAACCAATCAAGTGGAGTGTCGCCTTGTTAACGTCCAAAAGTGGAAGTCGCATCACAGGCTCTCTTTCCATTTCCCCTGAAAACTGGATGCGTCCGGTTGTTTACGACCCCGTGGAGGGTGGGCCAGGTGTGACGTTCCCAGAGCAGAGCCACAGGGCCATGTGATTACAACCAGCAGGCCAGGCCAGGTGACAGACAGACAGACAGACAGGTGGCAGTGCAGAGGGCACTGCTCTGGGACCTGTTAGTCATCACTGATCTCATATGACTGGGGATAGGCCAAAGCTCTGTAGCAGCACCCCTTGCTTAAGCCTATCCAGTCAGGTAAGATCAGTGATTCCTTCAAGAAAGAGAGGATGAGGGATACTACTATAAAACCTGCAGGCCCCTCAGCTCTGTTAGGCTATATCTGTCCTGTAGATGGGGTCCAAATCAAGCAGTCATTTCTCTACTGAATATCTGAATATACTCCTAGTCTGTAGAGAAAAGAGTGTGTCTGCTCTTGTCCTACTTACTTCATTATGCTAATACAGTTGGTGCTGATCAAGGACCTACAACACTCCTAGTTGGCTAATAAATGTCTGATTAGATTTAAACTTTGCGATCACAGTTGCTACTTGCCATAAATAGAAGGACAGAGCGCTTTGTAGCCATTGACACTCAAGATCAGTGGCACTCCGACTAGTGGTGACCCAGATGGCATCACTTCCTGCTGGAGCATGTTAAGTGGGGCCCGTCGTGCCCTTCTATCAGCTCTAATAAAAAGCCCAGTGCTCTCATGCATGACACACATATGTACAGTACTTTGCTTCGCTCGCCCACACACACTTCTGGGCTCTTACTGTACGTTCCCTCACTGACACTATCTCTCCCACTCCAATTGACCTCTCTTTCTCACACTCATACGCACGTAAAGACACACGCACACAAGCTGACTTTTTGCAGAACTTAAGCGCTCTCGCACACTCACTTACGCACGCTACACGCACACACACACACAACACACACACACCATTTCCCTGTCCCAGAAAAGTCGTCTGCTCTACTTGTTGGCTGATGGGTCTCAGAGGGATGGAGGATGGCAGAGAGGTGATGGAGAGGGAGAGCTCCCCTTTGACCCTGTTCAGTGGCAGGTGGGTGGGACTGACTGAGGAAATGTGTCAGTCAGAACTCCTCACAAGGCCAACTTCTGAGATGGCCATACAGGGAGCATATAGGGAGTGCTGTAATGCTTTTACTTAGAAAAGTAATTCTTTAGCCTATATTTGTGCTAAGAATGTTGTTGGTGTATGTGCTAATGTTCAACATGCATGTTTATAACAGAGTTGATGCCCTTAAATTACAGTTCACAGCTGTTTATTTTGGTTCAAGTTTCAACTTAATTTGTCCCAGAGGGCAATTAGTTTTACAGCAAGGAGCACATGAGATGTACATACAATGCTACTTGGCAGCCATCAATATAACAATGCTAATGATCAACTTTAGCAACAGCAGTAGTATAAAGTAAGGCCTACATAGAAGGTAAGTAAAGTGCGCTGTGCACATTCTGAAAAACATCACGTCAACATCATCAAAATACAGTATGCTGATAAAAAATACTGAATACATTTCCATCATCATCCCATGTAATGACAACCAAGAGGGAGACAATAAAAAGAGTTAGGACAGACTAACCTATCTCCTCCTCCTTCCCTGTATTCAAAAGGCCAATGGCCAAAGGGGTAAATGGTAAAGGAGTGCTTGTACCTGTTTTAGTCTTAACAGTGGGGAATCTACACCAGGAGCCAGAGGGTAGGACATGGAACTCCTGGTGTAGGGGGTGGGCACAGTCCGACGGGATGGATTCTGCCTTTCTCTCAAATGATCTGTTGTACAGGTCAGACATGCTACTCTGCTGGACTTCCGTGATCTTACTGACCACTTTCACTATTCTAGCTAGTGCATTTTATGCTTTGATACCATACCAACAGATCAAAGGAAATGGTTGGAAAGACTCAATGTACGCTTTATAAAAGAGAGTCTTCAAGGTCCTGTCGACCTGGAACTTTGCCGGTTTGCTGACTCAAAAAATATGTTGCTGGCCCTTCTTACACAACATGTCAGTGTTACACTCAAAGCTCAATTTATCATCAATCATGGTCCCAAGATACTTATAATTGGCTACAATGTCTACCACCTGGCCCTTAAGGATAGTGTTATGAGGGGTAGGGGGTTGACACCTGAAGTCAATACACATATCTTTGGTTTTTGTCACATTCAGTTGTAAGAAAGCAGTGTGGCACCAGTGTACAACATCCTTAACAACAGGACCATGGCTAGTTTCATCGGCATGAAGCAGACTGACTATTACTGAGTCATCCGCCAAGTTTAGGATGTGTTGGTTCTCGTACTGGCTACGACATCAGTGTACAGGAAATAGAGTGGCGAGAACACACCCCTGGGATGACGGCCCCGTGTAGCTCAGTTGGTAGAGCATGGCGTTTGCAACGGCAGGGTTGTGGGTTCGTTTCCCACGGGGGGCAAGTATGAAAAATGTTTGCACTCACTAACTGTAAGTCGCTCTGGATAAGAGCGTCTGCTAAATGAATAAAATGTAAATGTAAAAATGGATGAGCCTGTGGATGATGACCGCTTCCCTGACAGGCACCCATTCACCCTCACCCTCTGGGTTCTGTTAGTAAGAAAGTCAAGGATCCAGTCCCACTACATTAGAGTCTACACCAAAATTATGAGTGAGTTTGTTCATAGATCCTATGAGATACACTACATGACCAAAAGTATGTGGACACCTGCTCGTCGACCATCTCATTCCAAAATCATGGGCATTACAATGGAGTTGGACCCCCCTTCGCTGCTATAACAGCCTCCAATCTTCTGGGAAGGCTTTCCACTAGATGTTGGAACATTGCTGCGGGGACTTCCTTCCATTCAGCCACAAGAGCATTAGTGAGATCGGCACTGATGTTGGGCGATAATTAGGCCTGGCTCGCAGTCGGCGTTCCAATTCATCCCCAAAGGTGTTTGATGGAGTTGAGGTCAGGGCTCTGTGCAGACCAGTCAAGTTCTTCCACACCGATCTCAACAAACCTTTTCTGTATGGACCTCGCTGCCAGATGGTGAAGCGTGATTCATCACACCAGAGAACGCGTTTCCACTGCTCCAGAGTCCAATGGCTGCGAGCTTTACATCACTCCAGCCGACGCTTGGGATTGCGCATGGTGATCTTAGGCTTGTGTGCGGCTGCTCGGCCATGGAACCCATTTCATGACGCTCCCGACAAACAGTTATTGTGCTGACGTTGCTTCCAGAGGCAGTTTGGAACTCGGTAGTGAGTGTTGCAACCGAGGACAGACTATTCTTTACGCGCTACGTGCTTCAGCACTCGGCGGTCCCGTTCTGTGAGCTCGTGTGGCCTACCACTTCGTGGCTGAGCCGTTGTTGCTCCAAGACGTTTCCACTTCACAATAACAGCACTTACAGTTGACCGGGGCAGCTCTAGCAGGGCAGACATTTGAAGAACTGACTTGTTGGAAAGGTGCCATCCTATGACTGTGCCACGTTGAAAGTCACTGAGCTCTTCAGTAAGGCCATTCTACTGCCATTGTTTGTCTATAGAGATTGCATGGCTGTGCTCGATTCTATACACCTGTCAGCCGTGGGAGTGGCTGAAATAGCCGAATCCACTAATATGAAGGGGTGTCCACATACTTTTGTGTATATATATATAGTGTATATGCTTGAACATTTCATGATGTGTAGTTGATCACAGGTCACTGATCTGTAGGGAAGCCCTCTCAGTGAACTAAATCACCTACAGTAGACTCATTTACTCCTTCTCTGACCTCTACTGGCCACACTTCCAAACTTCCTTCCTCCCTCCCATGAGGTCATTGCTGATCTGTATGCGATTGGATGGCCTTTGTGAAGTTCAATTCCCACCTTATTTCTGTCTGCAGTCCAGCTCTTCCAGGAAGTAAGGAAGGAAGGAAAGGTGCATGTCTGAAGTGTTCAAACGGGGCCCTGGATTGGACAAAGTCCTGTTGTTCAGACAGGGAGTGGACGTGATGTTCATGGATCATCATGTACTCTGACATGGACAGATGACATGCTCCTCCTGTGTGTACACTGTGGCACAGCACAGCACACACACACACAGGCACACACACACACACGGCAAATAAAGCCATGTCAGATGTCAGATTGCAGTGCGCCAGTGGAAACAGAAGCCAGTGGGAATATATATTTTCAGGAACAATGGGAGAGATGACTGATGCTTATCTGGGATGGGAGGGACACTCCAAAGAAGTGTGTGTGTGCGTGTGTAAAGAGAACTTATGTGTAAAAAGAGTTAGAAAAATAATTAGAATGACAGGTCGCAGCTCGTCCCTCTGTCAGGGAAGTAACAGAACCCTGTGAGAACCCCACCCACTTAACGACGAGGTAGATCCATTCCACAACGCCCCCTCTCTGTCTCCCAGGGCTCTGCTCTCCTGGCTGCACCCAGCACAGTGCATCTACTAGTAGCTTCCTTCACTACCTGGCTTGGCTGCTCCGCTGCCACCTTAGACAGAAACAGCCCTGAGCATGGTGCGCTTCAGGTCTATTTTAGTACCTGGAGTCTGTAGGCATGACTGTAGCTGCTGCTAAACCAGATAGACAGTTCTAGCTGAAACACAGAGGAGATGCTGTGTTCTCAAAATAGCCAGTTTAACAGATAAAGCGTGTCCCAGTAATCAAAGTGATGCGCCATCAGCAGAGGTCGTTTTTGAAGTAGCACATTGACATTTATTTTGTTTTCATGAGTACGGTTTGTGTGTCCCAGCTGTATGATCTTGCTGGCGTCGTGCAGACCTGATGAGATGGCATTTTTAGACGGATATACTTTTCTGGGGCTCTGTGTGTTAGCGAGTGTGTGTTTTGCTGTCTCGGAAGAGCAATTGGACTACGCACTCACGCAACACACACACACATGCACTCCTCACGATTGTTTCCCCTCCAGATGTCTGGGTAGGGTTTGCTGGTCAGGAGAAGTTCTAAATACAGAACGCAGCTCCCTCCACAACCCACTACTTAGCATGGGACTTGTAAGGAACGTCGGTTGCGAAACCAAACAAACAAAACAGTATTTCTGCACTGTACATTGTATTTGTTTAGTGGGTCCAAACAAATTTCACTCAAAATAACTGTGAAATGGTATACTCAATTCAGTTGTGATGATTGGTATTTTAACAGATAAAGTTGTGTGTGCATATCCTTGACATGTGCGTGTGTGTGTGTGTGTGTGCGCAGGCTCAGGTGACCTTCCTGCAGGGTGAGAGGAAGGGGCAGGAGAACATGAAGCAGGACCTGGTCAGGCGGATCAAGATGTTGGAGTACGCCCTTAAACAGGAGAGGTCAGACGCGTGCACACACCACACACACACACACACACACACCACACACACCACACACACACACACCACACATACAGTGTAGGGCTTGGGTAACACTGCCATCTTGTGGTTCTTTCTCTCTCTCTGCAGGACCAAACACCAGAAGCTGAAGACAGGCAGTGACCAGAGCCCAGGGGAGAAGAAACCAGAAACCGAGGCAGAACAAGGTATGCAGGCTCTATGTAGCCTCTATGTATGCTCTAGGCCAGAGGTGTCACACTCATTTTGCTCCGGGGGCCGCATTCTGTCTGGTTATATTTCCTTGCCGTCAAGATTAACAAAAAATAGTCCTCTAGCCATAGTTTTTGAGGCTCCCTGACTTTCTAGCTTTCATTTCGGTGATTATTAGCGAGCTAGACACAGTCAAGAAACTGTATGAATGTAGGTCCATTATCATTTCTACACTCGGTTTCAGTCATTTAAAAGTATATTGGGTTTGTTCCTCCATACCCCACAAAAAATATATAAGAAAACACACAGTATAAAAAGTATAAAAAGATATGTATTCACTAACTGTAAGTCGCTCTGGATAAGAGCGTCTGCTAAATGACGTAAATGTAAATGTAAAAAACAACTCAAACCACCCGCGGGCCGGATTGGACCCTCTCAGATCCGGCACACGGCCGTATGTTTGACAGCCCTGCTCTAGACATGTAAAACTGTCACGGCATCCCTCTTATGTCAGCTCGCTATATTTGATACCAGACTTGGGTTTTTCACTGTGGAGAATGTCTGGATGGTCTAATGATTGCATCAGTGATTGATTCTATGTAGCCTAGATCTAATCTAATGTATTCTAAAGCAGAACGAGTAACTTCCCCATGCTTCTGTTTCCACATCTGTCCCATTTAACTGTGTGTGTGTGTGTGTGTGTGGGGCTGATGCACAGAGCTTTGAGGGTTGCTCCAGTGCTTGCTTCTGTTACATCAGAGCTTCCTCCTCTGATTGACTCTTCCTCTACCCCGCAGTGCCCAATGGGCCAGCAGAGTCTGAATCTGAGCAAGCCAATCAGATGTCCTGGAAGGAGGGCCGTCAGCTACTGCGCAAGTAAGGCTTCCTCCCCATAGCAAGAGCAGCACTGTCCTCTTTTAATAAACTGTTGAGTCTGAATGAAGAGGCTAATTGTGTGTGTGTGTGGCCATGGTTTGCGTGTGTGTGTGTGTCTGTGTCTGTGTTCGGGGTGTGTGTGTGTAGGTACCTGGAGGAGGTGGGCTACTCGGACACCATCCTGGACATGCGTTCAAAGCGTGTGCGCTCACTGCTGGGTCATACCAGCCCCGAGGCTAACGGTGCCCCGGCCAGCAGCGAGCAGCAGCCCACCCCAGACCCCGAGCCCCTGGCAGGGGGGGAGTCACTCCTCATCAGACAGATAGAAGAGCAGATCAAGAGGTGAGACCCCCATACACACACCCCTGTCCTCGGTGTAGGGTGCTGTGGACAGTGATGAATCAAAGCTTGTCTCCACAGTAGTCGCTGTGAAGTTGATCAGTAGTATGTCTGTGGTGGTGTATTGCATATTTTTGTCATATTTTTATAACTGTCAGTAATGTACTGTCAGTATTGTTGTAGGTTGCCTCGGATGTGTGTATGTGTGTGTCGCCTCTGATGTGTGTGTGTCAGTAGGAACGCGGCGGGGAAGGATGGTTCTAAGGAGCGTCTGGGCGGCTCGGTGCTGGATAAGATCCCCTTCCTACATGGCTGTGAGGATGATGATGAGGATGACAGTGATGAGGAAGATGACTTCCAGGGCACGGACTGTATAGACGGGCAGCGCAACAAGAACAAGAAGCCCCGCGTTAAGGTTCGAGCACGTCAACACAGCAAAGTGTTTGTGTGTTAGATTATTCCCCCCCCCTGTGTGTGTGTGTGTGTGTGTATTAAAGCCCTTCTCTCTCTGTGTGTGTAGATAGGGACTGAGCCCATGACCACAGACCTGGACCCTGATGATGAGGAGGATGAAGACGACTCTGAGGATGCCCTGAGCGAGTTTGACTTCCTGGGATCAGGGGAGGAGGGGGAGGGGGCGGGAGAGGCCCGTATCTCAGGGGACGGCCGGGAGTTAGGTACGCCATCATCATAGCAACCGCCTCAACCACACCTGTCTGTCTCTCCGTCTGTCTAGCTTTTTGTCTGTCTTCTCTTTCTGTCTGTCTGTCTGTCCTTCTCTCCCTTCATCCCTATCCGTCTCTCTCTTTCTAGGGAGTTATATGTTCTGTACTCTCACCTCTACTGCCAATAAACCATTGCAATAGTGAACCATTGTCTGTGTCTCACTATCACATTTGTTGTTTGGATGTGTGCCTTTGTCATCCACGTGTGTCTCTCTATCTGGAGCAATGTGTTCTGTTAGCATAAAGCATGCTGTTTGGTGTCTGTCTACTTTATCTCTTTATCCACCTCCTGTCTCTCGGTCCGTGTCTCTTCGTTTGTTTGTGGGTTTGTCTCTTTCTACTTCTCTGTTCGCTCATCGTCTCTCCTTCTGTATGCATGGCCATGTGTTCTCTCTCTTTCTGTTCGTCTCTTTTCCTTCTGTCTCTCTTTCTCTTGCTCTCTCCTTTCTTTATTGCCCTCCCTCCCTCCCTCCCTCCCTCCCTCCCTCCCTCCCTCCCTCCCTCCCTCCCTCCCTCCCTCTGCATGACTGTGTGTGTTTGTCTCTCTCCTCTGGCTTGGTTCAGAGAACCGCAGGAACAAGTTCCAGGGCATGATGTCGGACTTCCCCCCCAAACCCTCCCCGCCCCCCTCTGTTTCGGGACAGTCTCGCTCCGGGGAAGGTAAGCCAACACCCGCCCCCAAAACTCTCCCCCTCTCCCTGTCTGGCTGTGCCAAATGTTCAACAATGTTCTGTATTGTGTCATGTTCATGTTTTGCGTGGACCCCAGGAAGAGTAGATGCTGCTTTCGCAACAGCTAATGGGGATCCTGATAAAAAATAAATAAATACCAAAGTAGCTCAATTGCTTCTCTCTCTCTCATCTGAAGGGATACTGCTCTGAAGAGGTCATTGTTTTAGTATTAGAAAAGGGGAAGGGATATGTTTTTGATAAGATTGTGGGTTAATGTGGTAGTGGGTTTAGGATTGAGAGCTGTTCTTCCTCCGCTCCTTAAGGTGGCGCTCTGGGTTTTTCCTCTGACGTCTTCATCCTGGACGCCGTCGGGGGTGGAGACATGAACCTGGGAGAGCTGGCTGACCTCACCGTCGCCAATGACAATGACCTCACCGTGGATGTGAGTACTTGAACACACACGTGCACAGACACATACAACAGAGGAGGGGATGGTGGGGCTGAGACAATTGCAGTTTTAAAGCTAATTTCCTAAAATCCTATCAATTTTGCCATGGGGCTGAAAGAACATTTGTAGTTTTAAAGCTGATTTCCTGCAATTCTACACACCGCATATACAGTACCAGTCAAAAGTTTGGACACATCTACTCATTCCAGGGTTTTTCTTTATTTTTACTATTTTCTACATTGTAGAATAATAGTGAAGACATCAAAACTATGAAATAACACATATGGAATCATGTTGTAACCATAAAAGTGTTAAACAAATATATTTGAGATTCTTCAAAGTAGCCACCCTTTGCCTTGATGACAGCTTTGCACACTCTTGGCATTCTCTCAACCAGCTTCATGAGGTAGTCACCTGGAATGCATTTCAATTAACAGGTGTGCCTTGTTAAATGTTAATTTGTGGAATTTCTTTCCTTCTTAATGCGTTTGAGCCAATCAGTTGTGTTGTGACAAGGTAGGGGTGGTATACAGAAGATAGCCCTATTTGGTAAAAGACCAAGTCTATATTATGGCAAGAACAGCTCAAATAAGCAAAGAGAAACAACAGTCCATCATTACTTTAAAGACAGGAAGGTCAGTCAATCCGGAAAATGTCAATAACTTTTAAAGTTTCTTCAAGTGCAGTTGCAAAAACCATCAAGCGCTAAGGAAACTGTCTCTCATGAGGACTGCCACAGGAAAGGAAGACCCAGAGTTACCTCTGCTGGAGAGGATACGTTCATTAGAGTTAACTGCACCTTAGATTGCAGCCCAAATAAATGTTTCACAAAGTACAAGTAACAGACACATCTCAACATCAACTGTTCAGAGAAGACTGTGTGAATCAGGCCTTCATGGTCGAATTGCTGCAAATAAATAATTTACTAAAGGACACCAATAAGAAGAAGAGACTTGCTTGGGCCAAGAAACATGAGCAATGGACATTAGACCGGTGGAAATCTGTCCTTTGGGTTGGAGTCCAAATTTGAGTTTTTTGGTTCCAACCGCTGTGTCTTTGTGAGACGCGGTGTGGGTGAACGGATGATCTCTGCATGTGTATTTTTTTTAAATAAAATATATTTTGATTTATTTAACACTTTTTTTTTGGTTACTACATGATTCCATATGTGTTATTTCATATTTTTGATGTCTTCACTATTATTCTACAATATAGAAAATAGTAAAAATAAAGAAAAACCCTTGAATGAGTAGGTGTTCTAAAACATTTGACCGGTAGTGTGTATATATATTTTTGGCTGCAACAATTTAGCAGTGGCGGCCCGCTGCTGCTAAATTAATACACTCACCAACACTCTGACACCTGTGTGCGTGTAGCTGCAGGATAACCGGGAGGAGTTCAAGAAGACGTGGAACCCTCGCTTCACGCTGCGTAGCCATTTTGATGCCATCAGAGCTTTGACGTTCCACCCCAGCCAGGCCGTTCTACTCACAGCCTCCGAGGACGGAACCCTGAAGCTGTGGAACCTCAACAAGGCCATACATTCCAAGAAGTAAGAGCCTAAGGAATAGCAGGAACATATCACACGAATATCAGGGCCTGTATTCAAAAAGTGTATCATAAAGGGATCAGGTCCCTCCTGTCCATGTAAATCTTATTCATTGTTATTTAAAGGGAAAGACGGATCCCAGATCAGCACTCACTCCTACTCTGAGATGCTTTCTGAATACAGGCCCAAGAGTGGGAAAGAAACTGAATGTGGTTTGGTAGTGTGCTATAACACTGCTGTAATGTGTAAATGGATTTTTGGTCTTTGCCGCCACAGAAATGCAGCGCTGGACGTTGAGCCCATCTACACCTTCAGAGCCCACAGGTGAGCATGCATGCATGCAAACACACACATTTGTTGCAACTATCACGTGTTTTGGTGTGTTTCTGGGTTAATAGCTAATCTTTGTGTAATTGTACAGTGGTGCAGTTCTGTCTCTGGCCATGGGTGAGGACGGCGACTCATGCTACAGCGGGGGTCTGGACGGAACCGTGCGCTGCTGGAAGATCCCAGATATCAACGTGGATCCCTACGATAACTACGGTCAGTCCTTGACCCCTGTCGGACCCCTCTGTCTGACCCCTGTCTCCTTTCACCTCTGGTCAACCAGTCAGGACTAGCCAGGTTTATCCCCAGCTAACATATTCAGCTCTGAGTCAGTGGATTACACATGATCATCTATTATCTCCATGAAAACAGATTGACTGACAGTGGGCTGTGACGGTCATGGAATTTTGGATGGCGGTTATTGGTCAGCCAAATGACCACGGTCACCATAATAACTGTATTCTTTTTTAAGACACACATTTTGTGCTGCTGCAGGGAGGGGGGCGTTGCCCAGGCCAGGGGTTTTCAAACTTTTCTTGCCCAGGGACCCCCGCCCAGGAAAACCGGTTAGCAAAAAATAATGCCTTATCATCAGGTGAATGATAATGGCAAGTAAAAGTAATCAATTTTAAAATGAATAGATTTGGTGGACAGTTTCCTTATTTTGACCTCCACACAGTTTGTTGGAAGAGGAAGTGTAAACTCTAACATACAGTGCATTCGGAAAGTATTCAGACCCCTTGACTTTAACCACACTTTGTTATGTTACAGCCTTGTTCTAAAATGGATTAAAAATTAAAAAGTTCCTCATCAATCTACACACAACCCCATAATGACAAAGCAAAAACAGAAATGCCTTATTTACATAACTATTCAGACCCTTTGCTATGACATCCCGCTTGGAGTTTGCCAAAAGCCACGTAAAGTGAACTCTCAGACCATGAGAAACAAGATTCTCTGGTCTGATGAAACCAAGATTGAACTCTTTGGCCTGAATGCCAAGCATCACGTCTGGAGGAAACCTGGCACCATCCCTACGGTGAAGCATGGGGGTGGCAGCATCATGCTGTGGGGATGTTTTTCAGCGGCAGGGACTGGAAGGACTAGTCAGGATCAAGGCAAAGATGAATGGAGCAAAGTACAGAGAGATCCTTGAGGAAAACCTCCTCCAGAGCGCTCAGGACCTCAGACTGGGGTGACGGTTCACCTTCCAACAGGATAACGACCCTATGCACACAGCCAAGACAATGCAGGAGTGGCTTCGGGACAAGTCTCTGAAGGTCCTTGAGTGGCCCAGCCAGAGCCCGGACTTGAACCCGATCTAACATCTTTGCAGAGACCTGAAAATAGCTGTGCAGTGATGCTCCTCATCCAACCTGGCAGAGCCTGCGTGGGTCTGCAGAGACCCACGCAGGCTCTGGGTATGAAGCTTGTAGCGTCATACCCAAGAAGACTCGAGGCTGTAATCGCTGCCAAAGGTGCTTCAACAAAGTACTTAGTAGAGGGTCTGAATACTTATCTAAATGTGATATTTAGTTTTGTATTTTTAATAAATTAGCATTTTTTTGCAGATTTGAAGCACATTTTCAGCAATTTCCAGTTTGGCGTGGAGCTGAGAGACAATTTTGCAGTATTAAAGCACATTTCCTGCAATTCTATGCATTTTGCCATGGCTAATGCTGTGTTCCTCTGCGCAAACGTTAGAACAAAATCAATGGGCATGTGCTCTGAATGCCCGGTTTTTGGAGTTTTTCATTATCCCTGACTGTCTAGCTTTTATTTTATTTCTGAAAGATTGTATTATTTAAAAAAATATATAGTTCAATATCTTTTCTGCATGATTTCTATTTGGTTGTTTAAGTTGACACAAACTGTTTTCCATCCCGAAAATTACCACTTAGACGGCCCGCCTAAAAATCTTCTATGCAGAAAAAAATCCTGTAATTAGCTCCAATGACTGTAATTTCCTCCATATTTAAGGGATAGTTAGAGATTTTGGCAATGAAGCCATTTATCTCCATACTTCCCCAGAGTCAGATGAACAGGAACAGCTAGCATGCTAACTGTTCCTGTAGACATCCAGTCATTGCACTAACGCTAGTTAGCATTGGCTTGTGAAACTACCACTAACTTCCTTCATACTGGACGCAGAGACATCACGATGGTATTCTGTTGTAGCTAGCGATATTCATAAAAAATATTATTTTCCACATAAAAAATACCCCCCAAAAGAAAATCACAGACCCCCTATAGGGGCCGCGGACCCCAGTTTGGAAATCCCTGGCCTAGTCAACCGTAGACTCGTTAGCTACAACACCTTGCTTGTTTCAGCAAGGAGCAACACAGTTCCATCACGTTGTAGAATCCATTTGTGTGTGTGTGTCTCTTTGTTGTGTAGACCCGGGCATAGAGAGCAGTGTGTTGTCGGGTCATGAGGACTCAGTGTGGAGTCTGACGTACTCTGCCACCCACCATCGCCTGGCCTCCTGCTCTGCAGACGGGACCATTCGCATCTGGGACCCCCAGAACTCTACCCCCTGTCTCTCCGTCTTCAACAAGGAGAAAGGTGAGCGTGTGTGTGTGTGTGTGTGTGTATGTATATGTATGTCTGTTTATATCTTAACGCTTTCCTCCCCCCCTCCCTCAGAACACGGAATGCCCACCTCTGTGGCCTTTGTGAACTCTGACCCCGACCAGGCGGTGGTGTCATTCGACGGTGGCGAGACGCTGCTCTATGACCTCAACACAGAGCAGAGCATCATGGTCCTGGAGACTGGGACTAAGGACGGTGAGTCCTAGGGCCTGTTCTAACTATCAGAATGCTTCCTGTGGCCTGGCTGGTCTAGCGTTAATGGCGCAGCCTCTGGCACACATGTGTACGTGTTGGCTAGGGGTGTAATGGTTCACCAAACCCATGGTTCGGTACCTATTGCGGTTTTGGGGTCACAGTTCGATTCAATTTCAGTACAGCGGGAAAATTAAATGCAATTCACAATGTTTAGCATTCACAATGTTTCTTGCCATTGTCTGTTGTGACAGGATTGTTGTTGGGCCTCTCAAGTTTCCACTCTGATTTTGCGTTTGTAATCATGTAGGAGGTGGGAATTTACCAGTTGTGAGGTTGTAGATACCAGTTGGATGCATTCATGTGATTTGAACTCGTTGAGAAAAGGCGATTGGCTAATGGCCAACAAGCTGCGGAAACCATAAACCAAAAGTACAGCTATCATGCTTTTTTATTTTTATTTTTATTTTTTTGTACTCCCTTTTTCTCCCCAATTTCGTGATTATGATCTTGTCTCATCGCTGCAACTCCCCAACGGGCTCGGGAGAGGCAAAGGTCGAGGCATGAGTCCTCTGAAACATGACCTGCCAAACCGCGCTTCTTAACACCCACTCGCTTAACCCGGAAGCCAGCCGCACCAATGTGTCACCGTTCAACTGACGACCGAAGTCAGCCTGCAGGCTCCCGGCCCGCCACAAGGAGTCACCAGAGTGCAATGAGCCAAGTAAAGCCCCCCTGGCCAATCCCTCCCCTAACCCGGACGACGCTGGTCCAATTGTGCGCCGCCCTATGGAACTCCCGGTCACGGCTGGTAACACAGGCTGTAGGGATCGAACCCCAGGCTGTAGTGACACCGCTACACTGCAATGTAGTGCCTTAGACCGCTGCGCCACTCGGGAGGCCCAGCTATCATGCTTTTAAACAAATTATAAAGTAAAGAAATACAAAATTATAGATTGCTTTTTATATATCTTATTTTGTTGTTGCATTTAACTGCCAAAAATGCTGTTATAGAGGCCATTTCCTTAGTAGATGATGTCAGATGTCAACATGTGGGAGAAGTGGGTGCCTAGAATGGTAGATGAGTTTCCCATAGTAATTACCAGTTGGAGTGCCATTCAAGTGGATTTTTCCAAGTCGTATGTGGTAAATTCCCACTTCCCACATGGTTACGAACGCACCATGACATTGCCTCCTTCAGTGCCAGATACGCACTTGTGACTCTCATAAAGGGGCGTGTCTGTAGCACTGTACATCTCCCACTGCAGAGTAATGCGATGGGCTGTCACTGTTAAGCAAGCGCAACACAGGGTGCATTGGCCAATTCATTGAAAACGTCAGCTTTGGCTTGCTTATATAGAGCGGGTACTAGCAGTTTGCTGAAATGGGTGCAAGAGGGAAGTTCGTAATGTCGCTCGAGCACTTTCATGAGGTGCTAAAACCCCCTATTCTCAACCACTGAGAACGGGCGCATATCCGCGGCTATAAACCAAAGACTGTAAAATATATAAACATAGCCTACCTATCGCTCTTGTAATTTATTTGGCCCGGTCAGAATCATCTGCCAAGGGGAGACTGTGTTGTGTTGTTTCTTTGCGTTTCTGTTTTGCTGGGGTGATGTCGGCGTAAACGTGTCAACATATTTGAGGTGTTGGCAGCTGCATAGGCTATTCTCGTTGCACGTGGCGACATACTGTTAACTTTTTATCCACAACTCTCTGTCCATCGCCGTTGTAATATACTGGGAAACCAAAATGTTCCCAAACTGGAGATTTAAACAATGATGGAGTATCCTCACAAAATGACAGTTTTAAAATGTGCCAATTAAGATTTAGAATTTTGATTACAATGTGCATATTGGCTCTAGTTGTTAACGGAATGGCCTAAATTGTTTTCTTCAGCTCAGATTTACTCAAGAAGCATAGGCCTACAATGCATCATCGGCATAGCCTGTAGGCCTAGTGTTTAAATGTTGTATTTTTATATTTTTTATGTATTCATTCGGGTTCACAGTACGGACCGAACCGAGGTACCTGTACCGAACGGTTCGGTACAAAAACCTGTACCCTTACACCCCTAGTCGGCATAGGTTCAAATCAGGTATACTGCCCTAGGACGCAACCTCTCTCTATCTTTCCCCACTGTCATCCTCTCTCTGTATAATAAAATACCTTAAAATATATATATTGAAGAAATCAATCCTTCTGTACCTCCCTTCCTTGAGAGGAGCCAGGAGGATCTCCCTCAATACTGATCTGTGTGTGTCTGTGAGCTGATCTGAGTGGGTCTGTGAGCTGCTCTGACTGCTAAATGGCATATTATTATTATTATTATCTGTGTGTCGCCCCCTGCAGGCAGTGAGCTGATTAACTGTGTGGTCAGCCACCCCTCTGAGCCCATCTCCATCACGGCACACGAGAATCGCACTATCCGCTATCTCGACAACAAGACAGGTCAGCCCCTGTCCACTGCTAAATCCTATCTTTATGTAACTACGCCAGAATTAGGCCTCGTGCTTGATCTGCTTTATCTGGGTCGAACTAGCCCATAGCTCCATAACTTGCTTTTTCCTTTTAATTGAATGCCCATCTGTGTGTGTGTGTTACCAGGTAAAGTGATCCACTCCATGGTGGCACACCTGGATGCTGTCACCTGTCTGACCACGGACCCCAAAGGCACTTACCTCATCTCTGGCAGTAAGTACCTTGTCTTGTATTGGAACTCTAACCCAGTGTTCGTTAATCCTGGTCCTGGGGACCAAAAGGGCTGTAATGTTTAGATTTTTTGCCCTAGCACTACATACCTGATTCCACTAATCAAAGGTTTGATGATGAGTCGATTAGTCGTGGAATCATGTGTGTAGTGCTAGGGCAAAAAAAAAAAGTGTGTACCCCTTTGGGTCCCCAGGACCAGGATTAGGAAACGCTGTTTCTAACCACAACACTGATTCCCCTGTACTCTAACTGTGCTCTCCGCTTCCCTCTGCAGGCCACGACTGTTCGGTGCGTCTGTGGATGCTGGATAACAGGACGTGTGTGCAGGAGATCACTGCCCACAGGAAGAAGCACGACGAGGCCATTCACGACGTGGCCTTCCACCCCTCGCAGCCCTTCATCGCGTCGGCCGGCGCCGACGCACTCGCCAAGATCTTCGTCTGAGAGGAGGCACAGACAGGGATTCACCATCATCCTCACTGGTGAGACACTAGGGTACAGAGAGAGTGTGTGTGTGTGCTTTATCTTACAATCTGTTTGAGTTTCTTTTCTTTACAGTTTCTACTTATATGAACTTGTGCCTCCTTTTCATTACAGCCTGACTAAAAGAACTTGGCCAGAGGAGAGTGATGACTACAATGGACAAACCTCACCTGCCTACACACACAATTACACATTCACAGTTACACACACACAATTACACATTCACAGTTACATATACACACACAAAACTGTGTCCTGCACCCCACTGGCTGGGTCATCGCCACAGGACACTATTACCCACAGTTCTCTAGCTGTCCCATGATGCCTCAGTAACTTGTTGCGATACTAACCATACTGCTTTTCTAACGACTTATCTGACTGCTTGATTTATTAGGTCAGTTTACTACACTACAATACTCTATTAATTTCAACTTTTACAGTCCACTCATGGTTATTATAAGGCGGTGTGTGTTGACTTTGATCACTACGCATGCTGATGCAACACCTACTACAACTAGAGTGACAGGCGCTCACACAGGTTCACTTTCTGTTTGAAACTTAGCTTAGCTCACCAGTTGCTAACACACATAGGTACCTAACTACAGTAGAGTCCAGTACCCACCCAGTGATGGCAGTAGCCATTTTCTACTGCACTACAGTGTGGGGGAACAATGCATTTCATTCCAAAGACTTCTGAAGGTTTTAGTGTGTGTGTGTTTTGGAGACACCTCCTAACCGGTGTTGGACAAACAGCTTTAATTTCAGCCTCATCGCCAAGACACTGTCTGAGTGTTTGTGTGTCCAGTATTGTACGGTCATCCATTTCAGTAGAATCAAGTGTGATAGGAAAGGTGTGTGTGTGTGTTGCACTTGTTTAATCTTGGTGCTAAGACCTCGTCAGTCCGAGTCTGAATCAGGGACCTGTTTGCATTCGAGGTGTGTGTGGGTCCTGTTTCTCTCTCTTTGGGATATTTGTCATCAACAGTAGTGTGATATGGCTTGTATCATGCGTCACTCTCCAGCCATGCCATCTGTTTGTGTTGAGATACTGTATGGGTCATTTTTATCTCATAGGAAGACTAACACGCTATGCTAAGCAGACACTTTTCTATTGGTTTCCTTTAATATTTGTGTGTGTGTGTGTGTGTGTGAAGTTGGCCTTTGTCATTTCATCAGGATAGCTGGTTTGTGAAAGAGTATGTGGAGATAATGGGAGTAATTTAACGTTGATGCCACAGTGGAGCCCTCTGACTGAAATGGTTGACATTACCAGAAAGTGGCACTACTCCCAAGATGGTGTCCTGTATTCTCTCTCCGTTCCTTTAGTCGGCATCAAGTCAGAATGGTCCTTGGTGTATTTATTTAGGCTTGTGCTTGGAAACAATCATATTATCCATTGAAATGACTGTTGTTGATTAGGTTTCTGTTTCTGGTGCGAGGCGGGTCGCAGTTGCACTGCACTGAATTGCCCATAGTGCTCATAGTGGGAAAGTGGCGCCTCTCCCGTGTCAGTGGAGCCAGCAGGGGAAATTGCCCCCAGGATATGGGAACAAAAGCCACATAAAGATAGAGAGGAAACAAGAACAAACACTACCTAACCCCCAAGCCCCGTTACATTGGCCTCCGACAAAGACTGAACTAGACAGGGTAGGTGACTGTTCACCAAGCGGTCACTTTGTGCTTGGATTATTGTGGAGCTATTTTTCCTGGAAGGGAAAACAAGGTTGAACAAAGAGCGGAGCCGTGGGCGTCCGCTAAAGACTGACATATAGGTCAGAGATCAGGGGTGATGTCGTTGGGTAGCCGGCCTCCTGGATCCTTCAAGATTATTTGTGAACTTTCCAGGGTGGAACAGAGGCGGGGGAGCCCTGAGGGCAGATCTCTGGTTGTGGAAACATGGTTCAACATGGTTCCGCCAGTCCAGGGCAGAGCAGGGCATGGCAGTAAAGAATGAATGGTCCAGTAGCACCATGTCAATCATTAACTGTCCCCGAGCTGCCCCCAACCCTACTAATCAATCCCTAGCACACGCCAGAGTGAGGGGGGTAGAAGTCGTCCCAAACCACTGATTCCAGATCAGGTATTTTTTAATCCGCTTAATGATTAAAGTCAGCATTGGGGTTAGGGTAATCTAATCCTAGAAATGTGGATAAGGTCAACTTTAACCAAGAGCCCCTACATTCAACAGGGTCACTACAGGGGTCAGAGAATCAAAGGTTACTGGTAGAAATGACAGAGGTCAATGTTTTCCTCTCCACTGCAACACCTTATGGGAAAACACTCTCTGGTCTGGTCAGACAGGTATCTGTGGGCTTGGTTTGGTAAATGTCAGCCTCATGTGCTTTTACATGATGGTTTAAGATGTATTGAATATGATGAGGCAGAAAGAATGCCTAAGTGCTATTGTTGCACAATGATATGCCAAATATGTGATTTGTGCTTTATTATTGGGTAAGCATTAGAATAAGCCACCTTAATATTTGCAGCCATTAGGTGATAATCTCTCTAGGAGCTGATCCGTTGTCAGTATTGTGAAATAATTCTAACGTTAAGGTAAGATATGAATAGAGAAAGCTGATCTGAGAGCAGCGTTGCCTTTCTATCCTATCAGTATCAACACATGCTCTAACGAGGCACTTGGCGAACATTCTTTCTGCGTGGTGTTTTGGAAAACGCATGTTACATCTTCGGCCGTTGTAGGAACGACGCGTTGTTAAAACACTAGTAAGCCTAAATTCCATCGCTATCGGGAAACCAGGCCCTGAAGTGTCTCACTGGTATTTTTCCTCCTTTCACGTAAATATTAAGACTGCATGACTGTGTTGGACGAACTCTGCACTCAGTGTCTGTGTGTCAGTCAGAGTCTACATGTACATCTGCAGCATTGAGCTATAGACTGGTCCTGATATGCTCAAATATGTCCCTCTTCTGAGAATAGACAAATCAATGTGAAAAAGCGAGAGGAAAATAAAAGCGACTGTAAATGATAAAGGACTAGAGCTGCCATTATGTGATGTACATGTCCATTTTCATTTTTTATTTGTTGCTTTTTTCCCTTTGATTATAATTAATATGTAAGAATACTGTAGTATCATAAGTGAAATCATTCTTCTTTGCTAGGCTTAGAACTTGCTTGTGATTGATAATGACAATGTATACCTTGTAAAAAAACAAAACTGTTAACAAATCAGAAAAATGACAAAAAAACAAAAACATCAAAAAGTGATCAGTCCGAGGCCAAGGTAAAGGACTCTTGTTTCTTTGTGTTTTTATTTTTTTAATAGCAACTTATCACTGTGTGATATTTTGTACATCATATTAAGCTGTATTCAAACAATTTCCTCTAACTACAAGGGATAAGAGACCTGCTTTTTATTGAGTTTGTTTTATTATATATATTTTTCGAACTGCATTCTAGCTTATATCAAATGACAGATTTTCCTTCTCTTCTTTGGGTTTGTTTACTTTGCGGGTCTCGTGTCATTTAAAGAAGAAAAACACAAAACATTCTAATAAAATAACGATTTTGTACAGGGAATTGAGAGCAATGTTGTCATTCATTGTATTTTGTCAACTGTAATTTATTACTGTATTACTACATGTTAATGATCTACCTAATGATCCAGGGTTTCCCTCTTATATGTTACTTGAATAGCAACATAGTAGGGTTGTTCCATGAAATGAGCCCTTTTGCATCGCTTTGATATTTTAAGTAGACATTTCGCACCAATATTGAATTTTAAAAGCCTGTTATATTAAATGTAGTGCCCTTTTTTAATATAGACCACATAGAAAATTAAAAAATGTTATGAATAAATTCTAGGAAGATTTAAACCCACTTAACCTCAACATTTCTCCAAGTTTTCAGCATCATTGTAAAGCCCTAGTTATGTTGTTGCTTTGACAAAGTAATTTCTAAAGATTATTATTTATTAGTGATTCATTTTAAGGTAAAAAAAACCAACCTTTCCCTTATTTTAAGTTGAACCCTGTTACGTGAACTGAACTCTCATTTTAATATGGTAAAACTATTCCTTTGAAATTATTTTTTGAAAATAAACATTGAGTGACTTCGGAAAGTATTCAGACCCCTTGACTTTTTCCACATTTTGTTACGTTACAGCCTTATTCTAAAATTGATTTAAAAAAAATAAATCCTCAGCAATCTACACACAATATCCCATAATGATGAAGCCAAAATAGGTTTTTAGAAATTTTGGCAAATGTATGAATAAACCCCCCCCCAGAAATACCTTACTTACATAAGTATTCAGACCCTTTGCTCTGATACTTGAAATTGAGTTCAGGTGTGTCCTGTTTTCATTTATAATTACCGTGCTTCTACACCTGCATTACTAGCTGTTTGGGGTTTTAGGCTGGGTTTCTGTACAGCACTTCGAGATATTAGCTGATGTAAGAAGGGCTATATAAAATTGATTGATTGATTGATTTACATTTTAGGTCATTTAGCAGATGCTCTTATCCAGAGCGACTTACAGTTAGTGAATGCATACATGTTTTTTTTGTTGTTGATATATATATATATTTTTTTCATACTGGCCCCCCGTGGGAAACGAACCCACATCCCTGCCGGCCAAACCCTCCCCTACCTTGAACGACGCTGGACCAATTGTGCGCCGCCCATGAGATGTTTCTACAACTTGATTGGAGTCCACCTGTGCTAAATTCAATTGATTGGACATGATTTGGAAAGGCACACACCTGTCTATATAAGGTCCCACAGGTGACAGTGCATGTCAGAGCAAAAACCAAGCCATGAGGTCGAAGGAGTTGTCTTTAGAGTTCCGAGACAGATTTGTATCGAGGCACAGATCTGGGGAAGGGTACCAAAACATTTCTGCAGCATTGAAGGTCCCCAAGAACTCTTCCTAGAGCTGGCCGCCCGGCCAAACTGAGCAATCGAGGGAGAAGGCCCTTGGTCAGGGAGGTAACCAAGGACCCGATGGTGACTCTTACAGAGCTCTAGAGTTTCTCTGTGGAGATGGGAGAACCTTCCAGAAGGACAACCATCTCTGCAGCACTCCACCAATCAGGCCTTTATGATAAAGTGGCCAGACGGAAGCCACTGCTCAGTAAAAGGCACATGACATCCCGCTTGGTTTGCCAAAAGGCACCTAAAGACTCTCAGACCATGAGAAACAAGATTATCTGGTCTGTTGAAACCAAGATTGAACTCTTTAGCCTGAATGCCAAGCATCTCGTCTGGAGGAA